GTTCGAACCAGTATGATCCTGTGTCTTGTTGAGCTTGTGATTTATGATGGGGGGGTTGTTTTAAGTATGATGTTTTTGTTTTGCTGTTCGTTTATGTTGTTTAAGGGGTGTTGTGGATATTGTGTTAAGCACTTTGGTCAGCTTCGGCTGTGTTAAATGTGCTATATAAATAAAGTTGATGATGATGAGGGCAGTACGTGGGAAAACTTCAGACTTTGCATAATAATTATCAGGTTTTTAAAATTTCTTTATAAAAATAATTTAGTAATAGCTGTCAGTACATTCAATAGTAGAGTAACAATATCGGGGGGGCTTCAAGCAGGATGTGAGGATGTTGTTAATCTTTAACACCCTTTCATTTTGCAGTCACACTCAGTATGACCTTTGAAAAGAGGCAGTTGTGTCTTAAAAAATTTTGGTCTCAATTAAACTGATGCCCTGCACTCAGAGGCCCTGGAAACATTTCAGCAGGGCATATTAATCAGTTGTGTTGTGCATTAAAGTCCTGTCTTGTCTCAGACTGAAGGATTGCTGCTCATCGTGGTGTATATTAACCTCAGGCATTTCTTTGAAAATAATGTGAGATTAAATGTGTCTTCAGCTCTGTTGCAATTGGAAAACAGTAACTTGAATCATTGTGTGTTTCAGGCCTTGCAGGCCCCAGCGTGCCATGAGAATATGGTGAAAGTTGGAGGCTATATTTTGGGAGAGTTTGGTAACCTAATTGCTGGTGACCCACGCTCCAGGTATGTTGGATTTAGGCTGGCAAGACACCAAGTTGACCTTTGAAATAGTTTATAGTAACTTTACTTTTCTCGCCTCTAGCCCCCTGGTCCAGTTCAACCTTCTGCACTCAAAGTTCCATCTGTGCTCCGTGCCGACTCGTGCCCTGCTACTGTCAGCCTACATCAAGTTCATCAATCTGTTTCCAGAGACCAAGGCCACCATCCAAGAGGTGCTGCGCTGTGATAGCCAGATCCGCAACTCAGATGTGGAGCTGCAGCAGCGAGCTGTCGAGTATCTGAAGCTTTCTTCCATCGCTAGCACCGATGTCCTGGTTAGTTCTGAGCCCTGTTTGACCAAACTCAACTCAGTCCTACAGTAACATTTGTTTACATTGTTATTACTAATTTGTTGCACTGTCTCCAAAAACAGTCAGTCTGGAGGCTTGTAGTCTTGTTCTAGCTTTAAATGTTTTTGTTTTGTTTTTTTATTGTTGGCAACATTTTCAGTCCATATCCATAGCACAATTATCTCTGTTCCCTTAGGCCACTGTTTTGGAAGAGATGCCTCCCTTCCCAGAGAGGGAGTCATCAATTCTGGCTAAACTGAAGAAGAAGAAGGGCCCCGGTGCTGTGTCTGTGACAGAGCTGGAAGACAGCAAAAGGGAGGGCGGGGAGTTGAATGGAGGGGGTGACCGGGGGCCAGACACAGCAGCCATGGCTGCCTCCAACACTGTAAGAAAAATCTGCGGGGGG